AGGAAGGAAGGAAGGAAGGAAGGAAGGAAGGAAGGAAGGAAGGAAGGAAGGAAGGAAGGAAGGACTGTGGTGACACAGTGGTGAGAATACAATATTACAGAGTGACTCTGCCCAATGAGTTCGATCCTATCTGGCTCAGGGTTGACTTCCATCCTTCCTTCCAAGGTGGATAAAATGAAGACCGAGATTGTTGGGAGGGGCCAGAGGCTGACTCTGCAAACAGCTTAGAGATGGCTGTACCTCCAGATTCTCAATGCAACCCCTCCCCATCTGAATTTCTGACTGAGGAAATGTGGCATGGGCTACGCCAAGCCATTGTTTGGCCTCCTGCCAACCTGTGACTGGAAATGTCAGGTATGTCAGCTTGGGGGGCGGGATACAGGTAAGCCCTCAACTTATGACCACAATTGGGACCAGCTGTCCATTGCTAAGCAAGGCAGCTGTTAAAGAAGCGGCACCTGATTTTACGACCTTTTTGCCCCTGTTGTTAAAACGAGTTAAGCCAATCCACTTTAATCATTGACTTCGCTTGTTGGGAGTGGCTGGGAAGGTCACAACTTCGGGATCACGTGACTAATTTGCACAACCAAGCACTCAAATTTTGCTCACGTGATTACCAGTGCACGCATAAGGACTGGTCATAAGTCATTTTTTTTCCAGTGCTGTGGTAATTGTGGATAGTCACCAAATGAGTGAAGTCAATGGTGGGATTTACATTTTTTTACTACAGATTCTGTGGGTGTGGCTGGGTGGGTGTGGCATGGCTTGGTGAGCCTGGCTTGGTGGGCGTGGCAGGGGAAGGATACTGTAAAATCTCCATTCCCTCCCCACTCCTGGGGGGAAGTTAACTGCAAAATCCCCCTTCCCTCCCCACCCCACTAACCTGCTTTCCAGCTCTGTTCTCCTGTGCAGGGCAACCAAAGAAGACCCAGCTGATCAGCTGGGACTCAGGAGGCGGAGAATAGATGGGGGCGGGGCCAGTCATAGGTGGGATTTGCGGGTTCTCTGAACTACTCAAAATTTCCGCTACCGGTTCTCCAGAGCTGGTCAGAACCTGCTAAATACCACCTCTGGATAAGTAGTACTTGGCTCAATAGTAGTAACTGTGAGTGGGATCTTGGAGTCCTAGAGGACAGTCACTTAAATATGAGTCAGCCATGTGCTGCAGCCACCAAAAAAGCCAATATAGTCCTATCATAGGCTGCATTAACAGTGGTATAGAATCAAGATCACGTCTTAACACTGCTTTATAATCCCTTGGTAAGGCCACACTTGGAATAATGCATCCAGTTTTGGTTGCCAGGATGTAAAAAAAAGATGTTGAGACACTAGAAAGAGTGCAGAGAAGAGCAACAAAGATGCTCTTCTGGAGGCTAAAACATTTAAAGAACGGTTGCTGGAACTGGGCATGTCTAGTTTGATGAAAAGAAGGACTAGGGGAGACATGATAGCAGTCTTCCAATATTTGAGGGGCTGCCCCAAAGAAGAGGGGGTCAAGCTATTCTCCAAAGCACTTTGAAGGCAGGACAAGAAGCAATGGATGGAAACTGATCAAGAAGAGAAGCAACTTGGAATTAAGGAGAAACTTCCTAAAAGCTAAAACAATCAGTGGAACAACTTGCCTCCAGAAGCTGTGAATGCTCCAACACTGGACATTTTAAAGAAGAGATGATATAAGGTTTCCTGAGCAGGGGGTTGGGCTACATGACCTCCAGGGTCCTCTCCAACTCTGTTATTCTGTTATTATTCTGTGTTAAGAATGCCACTGCTGCGACCATTAGGCCTTAATTCCCACCGGCTTTAGGGCTGGCA